TATTATTTCTTGTACAAAAGCTTTGAATGAGTAACACTGGTATATACACATACACAAATAATTGTCTATTATTTCTTGTACAAAAGCTTTGAATGAGTAACACTGGTATATACACATACACAAATAATTGTCTATTATTTCTTGTACAAAAGCTTTGAATGAGTAACACTGGTATATACACATACACAAATAATTGCTGTTCACGTGACTTTATGCTGAAGACAAACACTTTGATTTTTCCTTATGCTTGTTTTTTTGTCCACGTGACTTTATGCTGGAGACAGACACTTTGATTTTTTTCTTATGTTTGTTTTTTTGTCCACATGACTTTATGCTGAAGACAAACACTTTGATTTTTCCTTATGTTTGTTTTTTGTCCATGTGACTTTATGCTGAAGACAAACACTTTGATTTTTCCTTATGTTTGTTTTTTATCCACGTGACTGTATCCTGAAGACAAACACTTTGATTTTTTCCTTATGTTTGTTTTTTATCCACGTGACTGTATCCTGAAGACAAACACTTTGATTTTTCCTTATATTTGTTTTTTTGTCCACGTGACTTTATGTTGAAGACAAACACTAGCTTTAATTCTTTCAGAAAAATGGAAGAAACATGAAAAAGATCAAGAAGTTGAGGAACCAGTGCAGGAATGGTGTCACCAAGCCTGCCATCATTTTCTCATTTGTTTAGGAGATCTTGGTTAGTAAATGTTGGAATTTAATGATTTCGTGTCTTTCTTTTTTTTTAAGGTTAGTATGATCTTATGATTTTAATTAAATAAAATAAACTTCTGTCATAAAATATGTTGATGCCATAAAAATGTAAGTGAAATAATGTCATAAAGTACAGTAGTGATATTACGTGGGTGTATGTACCAACAAAATATTGCCAATAAAGAGGGACTTTTCAAGACTGTAAAATGCCCATAATTGTTCTTAGGAATATGAGTGTTCTATATGTGTACATATGTGTGTATTGAAAGAAATGTTAGAAAAGTTAAAACACACATTTATAATTCAAATTTGTTTTATTGGCTATGTTTCAGATGTATGCCAGCAGTCAGACTTAACTTCTAAAATTATGTACTATAAAGAACACTTAAAATTTGAAGATATGTGAAATGAAACGTTGTGTTATCCAGCTCTGTAATTCAACAATTAAATATATACAAAGACTAAATGGACCTAGCAGAGCCTGGACAGGAAAATTCAAAACTATAAACTTACAAAAACTGATATAGCTTAATAGAGAAAATTAACACATTCATCAAAGGGAACAGTCTCCACAGAGAATTACTGGGTCTAATGGTAACAGTTGTCAAAATGGGGGATTGGAAAGGGTGTGAGAAGAGTGATTTTAAAAAAAGCTGTAATTACTTAAAAGAGGAATGTTTATTTATTCTGTGTAGTGTCAGAGACTTCAGTTTAAATATAAGTTTGTATTATAAGGTCTTGTCATCAGATATGTTGTAGGAGTCATGCTGTAGAACAAGTACACTCCTGTCCTCAATTCTGTTAGGGTCTGGAAAGTTAATGTTTGGAGACTGTATGATCTATAGCATTGTTGCCTGCAGGTCGCAGGTGTTCGCTAATTCTGTTACCTAGCCTGTGTTTTGTTTTTCCGATATATATATATATATATATTTGATTACGTCTAATACAGCAAATGCAATAGATAATTCACTGTGATTGTACAAGTGCATAAAGGTAGTACCAGAAATGGTCATGAAACACTTTGATTTTTCCTTATGTTTTTTTTGTAATGTATCTTCTTGTATAGTGGGAGAAATAGGGGTCATATTTCCATACAACAGCTGATTTTTTGTTATGTTTGTTTTTTTGTCCACGTGACTTTATGCTGAAGACAAACACTTTGATTTTTCCTTATGTTTGTTTTTTGTCCACATGACTTTATGCTGGAGACAAACACTTTGATTTTTCCTTATGTTTGTTTTTTTGTCAATGTGACTTTATGCTGGAGACATGTTGGGTTTATAAATTATTAATTAAACTAT